TCGTCTAGGACTGAATTTTCTATGTATTGGGACAATGCTAGGGATATAGGATATTATTTGGAAACATTAACTAGGTCACATAGATGCATGTGTCTGAAAACTAGCCTAACACGAGATGCAAGGGCTGATGAGAAAAGCAACATTCGTATAAGCACTTGAGGAATGATTAAGGAAATGGTTTCCAGGTTGCACGGTGTGATATTCATTCCTAGTTATGTAATATGGCTTTGCATTGGAGGATTTTTTTATATCTGCCATTATTTCTGCCAGGTTTCTGTGGTTCATGTGCATTTGAGTTATCTCTCGTAGAAAATGGCGTTCTGCTAGCTTAGAGGTGTTTTTATAATAATCAGGGATCTCTCTGAAATGAATAATCAGGGATCTCTCTAATAATCACCTCTTGTTTGCTTGGACATTCTTCTTTGACATAAAACATTCAAAAAACTTCATTTTTGATAAGACTTGTTTCTGCTTCTTTAATGTCCAGTTTATTATAGGTGACGGGAATAATCTCTATGATTTCACTTACGTTGAAAATGTTGCTCATGCCCATGTTTGTGCTGAGCGAGCTCTAGCTTCAGGAGGAGATGTTTCTACAAAAGCCGCAGGCCAGGTATTTGTTTTCAGCTGATTCCATGCCATAGTATTCCAAGGTGAAGTTTGATTTCAGTATCACTTCCTTTATTTTGTGGCCTCATCAGTTTTCTAGATAGATGTCTAGAATGAAATGTTGTCATTTGGCGAATCGGACTGAACTAAGGAAGGCATTTTTTGTCTGCTGTTTAGGCATACCTACAGAATCAGAAACGTTTCAGATGTACAATGACATCCGACACAAAAGCTGTATTGACTCTAAAATAATGTGAACTTTCAAATAGCCTTTCTGTTTTTTGTTTGGGAATTTTGTCTTTCTAGGTTGTGTTTAGGTGAGATAGACTTGGTTGAGGTGTTACCCGTATATCTTCAAGAAGATGATTTACACTTTCTCTTGCGTTTTTCAATAAAAGTTAAATCTCTTACAAGTTTTATTATGCCCTATGGTTAGATGGTTATTTATTTATGATCTTACAGGACAATCCTAGTTGTAGACTGACCTGACAATTAATGGATTTACAGGCATATTTCATTACCAACATGGAGCCAATCAAATTTTGGGAATTTATGTCACAGCTTCTTGAAGGACTTGGCTACGAGAGGTATTGTATTTTTTTCTTCTTGTTTGGATTCGTATCTCTTGCCAGTCATGGTCATATACTAGCGGCACAATTTTTTTGCTTTATATTTGCCAGATCTTTCATGCAGTATGGAGGGGAAAGACACATTCTGGTTTCAGTTGATTAATGTTTTTGCATTGTTATTGAGTTGAGCTTAACGTTTTTTCCTTTAAAGTTTGCTTTGTGAGTAACTTGTAATGAAGAGGATTGAGGTAGATGAGATTATCAAAAAGCAATATTTTACAGAAGATAAGTTATTTCGCAGGAGACAATATAACAGTGTTCAGAGTCTTTAGTTCTGATCTTAGATAGTTTTCTGATTTCGGATATAGGAAGAGCATAATGCTTGCATAAGAGGATAACAAATTCTAAATGACTGGATATATCAAATCTGTTTTGCTTACATTTGTGCCTGACAAGTTACTCTGATATTGTTTATTTGTAAAGCGTTTTACCTTGTTAGTAAACGGCTAGTCCTATCTAAGAAGGAATGCGATGAAGTAACCTATGCCTTTTACTGATTTTTCCTAATTTATTTTATTTGCAGGCCAAGCAGAAAGATACCTGCGTTTGTCATGATGCCGATTGCCCATCTCGTTGAACTGACTTATAAATTGATGGGACCATATGGGATGAGAGTACCACAACTAACACCTTCAAGAGTTAGGCTGCTCTCATGCAGCAGAACGTTCGATTCCACGAAAGCAAAGGATCGGCTAGGTTATGCTCCTGTGGTGCCACTTCAGGTTATACAATATTTGATTTGAATCAGAGATGTATTTGTTGCTTCTCTATTCAACTGCTTCTGGGTCTGGATGAAGTGTAGGGTAGATTTCATAATATGCCAAAGTTGCACCCGGCAAGCAAGATTAAGTTGGCGGAGGGGGCAAGCATGGCTGTATATGAAGCCTTTATTATTCCTTATATAATGCATGACTTGATGATCCTGCAGGAAGGTATACGAAGGACGATAGACTCATTTTCTCACCTGACTGCTAAAAGTCGATCCAAAAGAGAGGGCCCATCCAAGGCTTCTAGGATTCTTGGAGGTGGAAAGGGTATGCTTTTCCTCTCACAGCTGATTGTCTCTCACATGATAAGAAACCCAATGTTTCAATTTAAAAATGCATCGTTGGATATTTGCCTTTTATATCCAAGTCTTTGGACAACTTCAACATCTGCACAGCGCTCCTTGATGGTGTTAAGGTTATAGCAATCATATTATTGTGAAGCGGGTTAGGACATTAGTATAACTAGACATACATTTTCAACTTCAGAACAATCTACCCCTGTCTTGATTCATTTATTACGATACATATTGAGAACCGTGATCGGTGGCATGAACTTGCAGTTGCTGATACACTTCTGTGGAAGGATAAAAAGCAGACTCTCATTGCCATATTCGTTCTGATTACTATCTACTATAACTTTGTTGCAACCGGGTCTACCATCATAACTGCTCTTTCGAAGGTTCTATTGGCAGCATCAATATTTTTGTTCATCCATGGCATTCTACCAGAGAAAATGTAAGAATCCTGATATGGCAAATTTGATGGAGTTTCATTGTATGCAATATGGACCACCTTAACACGGTTCTCTGTTACCCCGTAATGGAAACCAAAAGGTCTTTCAATTCACTATTATATCTTCAGTTGCACGAAACACAGGAATTTATAATCATGTTCATGTCCCATCAGAAGGGGGAGATGCATGCCAAGCATTCTTGAAACACTGTATCTTGTTCTCTTCAGTCAGGAACAAAACCATAAACATTTGCTCTGTCCAGATTATGAACAACTGAAAAATATAAGCTTATTTTGCAGATTTGGTTATACAGTTGAAAAGATTCCTGCATCGCAGTTTCACCTCTCGAAAGACTCGTCACATCACCTCTTATTGTCAGTGATCTCTTCATGGAACACCACTGTCAAAGCTCTAAAATCTCTTTGCCAGGGGAATGACTGGAGCTTATTTTTCAAGGTAATTTCCCCTTAAAGCTGTCTATCTATGGCAAATTCCAGTCTTGTGATATCTCGATAGTTACCAACGGTAAACAGAAACTATGGTGGCAAAGCTCATAAAATGTTGTAACACTGGTTTGTGTCTCTAATGAATGTCATAGGTGGTCTTCGTTTTGTTAGTATCGAGTTTCGCTGGAGCCATATCTCTTCAAAGCATATTTGTTATAGGTACTCTTTTCTCTTTCTCTCTGCCTAGTTTCACTAAATGCCAACATTATGGTTATAAATTATAATTCTTCAAATAATATATAGTTTTGATGGTTCTTTGTTCAACAGGACTTCCCATTGCCTTCATTGCTTTTCTCGTGTACGAAAGCAAGGAACAAGAGATCGAATCGATAATGTTGGGTTTTAAATATTCTGTATGCAAGCAGAAATCCGATGTTTGTGGGAAACTGTTTGGAAGCGAGAAACATGACTAAGAATATTTCCTCTCGGCCCAGCATTTGTACTATTCTTTTTGTTCCAACAACCATCACTCTGATTTGAACTTGTTGTCAGGTATTATTGCTTTTACTCATTTCTTGTGGTCTTTGTTTACATGCTTTGGGGAAAATGGAGGTTTGAGAGATGCATATTATTAAGCCTAGCTCTTGTTCTTTAACCTGAAGGTAAATCAATTTTGCTGTTGAAAATCGAATGAATTTATGGGAAAAAAGAAAGAGAAGAGAGTCGCGCGAGGCCTACAAAGTCTACTTACTAACATTGCTCATCTCCTAAAGCTCATGACTTCAATCCGTGACTTTGAATATAAGAAACAAATGACAGAAACTTTCTAAAGAAAAGTCGAATATTATATGACCGACCGACCACACAAGTGGTAGTTTTTTCCCCAACCATTTCATTGATTTAAATATCCATTCTCAGACAGAAGAAAAACCATATAAGGTGTTGAC